ATTTTCCTTGTTTCTGGCCAGGAGTCGACCCGGGCTGCAGCGCGTCGAGGAGGTGGACTTGACCCGACCTGAACGCGTGCAATCTGGGAGACCAAGACTCGTAAAGCAGGACCGAGTTCTGAACTCTCCGTTGACATGAGGAGTCGACAGCCGAGTGGCGTGCGCACTGAGGCGTGGTGCAGAAGACACCCTATCGGCCCAGGGTTCGACTCCTGGTCGGTGTGAACATTTTGTTGTTGTTTTTCGCGGGGGGATGGGGGACTGCTGAGTAGGCGGTCAAGTCCACCTCCCCATGTCGGCTGGTCTTTTGTCCTAACCCTTGGTCCCCGCGCCGCAAACTACTAAATAGGAAAAAATGATCATCGGTCAGTATTCGAACCTACACACTAAATGGTGAGGGACAATTTTTGTACGTAAGCTGGATGTGTCTTTGAGCACATCTAAACCAAATGCAAATTTGCATCCAAGTCACATACAAAATATAGCATTTGTACCTAGCCTAGGTACACTTTGTACCTCTGTACAGACAAATTTGTATCTGATGAAGATGTGCTCAAAGACACATCTAACTAAGGTACAAAAATTGTCCCTCCCCATTTAGAGTGTACAACCATCCGCGTCCCGGGCGCGCGCTCTACCAACTGAGCCAATGATGAGACTTGTGGATAGCTGAAGCTTATTTCCACTGTGGCTCATACAGCGAAACATATGGCTGGCAGAGGAGCAAAAGGGTTCCGTCGACTAGATTCGAACCAGCGACTGTTTGCCAGCTGTTTGCGTACTGGCCAATCACATCAGGTGTCGCACGGCTGTAAAGTCGTGGCCAGCGGAGTGCGAAAAATATCACCCGGCCGAGATTCGAACCAGCGACCAGTTTCAGACGGGGCCCGTACGCTACCAACTCGGCCACGGCGGAACGATACAGGTAAGGCCACAGCGAGCAGCAACAGCATCGACGAAAACTCTTGCGGCAGACTCCAGGTCGGATCTTGACTCAGACCGACGAGAGGCAGGGAATTGCGATTTTTCGGAAAGGGGAGAACAAAGCGTTGATTTTATATTATTTATTTTACGAGTTTCACAGATGGAAAGAACAAGGACATAATTCAATTTAATAACAACCAAACAATGAACAAGGTGTAATAAGAGTGCGGACGGCGGGGGTGG